TTTTGTGATTAAGGCCACGTCACAGACTTTTTCAAAACAAAGATTCCCCATGACCCAAACCTAACGTGTATACCTCATAGGAGTCAGCACAGGGAAGGGACAAGGGATTATGCTGGTATATCTCCATTTTGGGCTCTACGGAGGTTGAATCAAAATAAAACAAGCTAGCATATCGTGCTCCAACGTGTAAGATTCTCCTGTCCCCTTTACTGGTATGTGTATATTGACAAGGGATATCTTACTGTACTGAACTTGATTTCAAACTATTATTTGTTAGGCAAGTAATTTGCAGTTATTCTTAAGTCTTGGAAATGTAAAAATGAGCTCTAACATAAGAAATAATGCGCCAGATGTCACAGGGATGAAAGGAAATTAGATCCCAAATTTATCAAATGACCAATATGGCAGTGTCAGTGCATAGAAGTGGACGTCCCTGTATCCGTGTGTAAATGGAAGCTTACCTGTTTCAAGGTGTTTTCCGACTTACTGGTTATGTTCTGCTGTAGCTAACTGTTACGCGACGAAAGGGAACGTCGGTGGATTACAATACTGAAAATTTAAATTCGTACCACTAGAATTCGCCACGACATGCCTACAAGCAGTCTACATACTTTAGTGAAAACTTACTAGGCCTATGTATTACCGAGCTTAGATTATTTGCAGTACTGTTTGGGAGGCCGTTACCATGCAGACTGTGAGTTGCACAACAGAATGTTGAAAAGAACTGCCAGATTAATTCTTAGTTGTCCATACCGACCTGCTTCTATACTGGTATGTTTAATGAATTGAAATGGTTCAGTTTTACCGATAGGATTTGTTTAAAAAAACATGCTAGTGTATAAATGCATGTACCATTTGTGTCCAGAGTATATGGCAGATCTATTCTCCAAATTTACTACCAGCTGCACAAGGCAAAATAATAACCTTACTCTGAAGGTTCCCTAAGCCAAGACAAGAAGCCTGCGCTCGAGCTTTGCTGTTTCTGGGGCTAAAATTTGGAACGATCTGCCGAATACTCTCAGACAAATTGAGTCTCTTCCAGTTTTTAAAACTGAGCTTTTTCAACTATTGTTTACAAAATACATATGTTTTTATATTTGTGTCTTACTCTCTATATTTATATACATTACTCGATGTTTGGCTCTCTGTATTACTTATACGTGTGTGTGTCATATACACATGTACGTTGTAGTTTTTAATTTAAATATATTTTATATTAGTTTTGTTCTTGTGAATTTATGTTGTAATTTAGTTTTACTACTTTTAATGTCTTTTTATGGTGCTTTTGTTTTTAATTGAAACACGCAGGGCCCGAATGGAAACCAGTCTGTTTATTGATTTGGCTCACCCTGGATAAATAAACTAGAAAAAAAAATAAAAACCCGGTGTCACAGTTTGATTTCATTTAAGAGATTTTTGTTTGATTACAGAAATGAGCTGTGTTTTGCTAACTTAAAATTGTGCTAAATTCCAGAACGTTGTGGTTCAATTGAACTGAATGGTTAAAGGTATTCACTGGCGGATGAAATGCCGAGGCCAGTGCATGTGACTTTATATTAAGTACTTGGTGAAGGGTTGAAAAGTATGGATTGGACTCTGGTCAGTAGTCAATAGTCGGACAATAAGAAAAGAACGTCCATTGGCCGAATGAATGAAGAATGTTCATTGGTTCATTCCAGTTTAGTTGGTACGGTTTTAAGGAATATGGGACATTGCATTGCGTTTTCGTACAAAAACCTTGGGAAGGGCGTCGGCTCCGAACTTTGTGACAAGACTTCTAGACTGCTGGCATTCTCACTGGCATCTTGGTGCTCTCAAGCTTTTAAGATGGCACCACGATTGCCACCTCTTAAATTTTTTTTGATTTTACACAATTGCTTATACGGACACTTCTTTGACCGGGGCTGAACTCGACCAGTGGAGAGCAAGTCACATTTACGCAAAAAAATAATATACTTCGAAACGAAGTCGCGCTTTCCTTGGGAGATATTTCCGAAACTAAAACACATATAGATTTGAAACTTGCATGAATCGAGAGAGCAGCATATTAACGTTAAAGTGACACCACGATTGGCATATCTTAAAATTTTTTTTATTTTTCAGAATCGCATATATGGACACTTCTTTGAGCGGGGCTGAACTCGTTTAGTGGAGAGCATGTCAGATTTACGCAAAAATATCACACACTTCCACACGAACTCGCGCCTTTCTTTGCAAGATATTTCCCAAACTAAAGTACATATGGATATGAAACTTGCATGAATCGAAAGAGAAGAATGTTCACCTTTTAAACTGACACCACGATTGGCACATTTTATAAAAGTTTTAATTTTTCAGAATCGCATAGGCCTATACGGAGACTTCTTTAAGCGGGGCTCTACTCGTTTAGTGGAGAGCATGTCAGATTTACGTAAAAAATCAAGCCCTTGCACGCAAACTCGCGCATTCTTTGGGAGATATTTCAGACACTAAAACACATATGGATATGAAACTTGAATGAATCGAATGAGCAGCATATTGCCTTTAAAAATGACACCACGATTGCCACCTCTTATAACATTTTTGTTTTACAGAATCGCTTATACGGACACTTCTTTGAGCGGGGCTGAACTGGACTGGTGGAGAGCAAGCCAGATTTCCGCAAAAAAAATCATATACTTCGAAACGAAGTCGCACTTTCTTTGGGAGATATTTCCAAAACTAAAGCACATATGGATTTGAAACTTGCATTAATCGAGAGAGAATAGCATATTGCCTTTAAAGTGACACCACGATTGGCATATCTTAAAATTTTTTTTTGATTTTTCAGAATCGCATATACGGAGACTTCTTTGAGCGGGGCTGAACTCGTTTAGTGGAGAGCATGTCAGATTTACGCAAAAAAATCATACACTTCCACACAAACTCGCGCCTTTCTTTGCAAGATATTTCCAAAACTCAAGCACATATGGATAGGAAACTTGCATGAATCGAAAGAGAAGCATGTTCCCTTTAAGATGGTACCACGATTGCCACCTCTTATAAAATGTTTGAGTTTACAGAATTGCTTATACAGACACTTCTTTGAGCGGGGCTGAACTCGAGTAGTGGAGAGCATGTCAGATTTACGTAAAAAATCAAGCAGTTGCACGCAAAGTCGCGCTTTCTTTGGGAGATATTTCCGAAACTAAAGCACATATGGATATAAAACTCGCATGAATCGAGAGAGCAGCATATTGTCTTTGAAGTGACACCACGATTGGCACATCTTAAATTTTTTTTTTGATTTTTCAGAATCGCATATATGGACACTTATTTGAGCGGGGCTGAACTCGTTTAGTGGAGAGCATGTCAGATTTACGCAAAAAAATCATACACTTCCACACAAACTCGCGTCTTTCTTTGCAAGATATTTCCCAAACTAAAGACATATGGATATGAAACTTGCATGAATCGAAAGAGAAGCATGTTCCCTTTAAACTGACACCACGATTGGCACATCTTATAAAAGTTTTGATTTTTCAGAATCGCATAGGCTTATACGGAGACTTCTTTAAGCGGGGCTCTACTCGTTTAGTGGAGAGCATGTCAGATTTACGTAAAAAATCAAGCCCTTGCACGCAAACTCGCGCATTCTTTGGGAGATATTTCAGACACTAAAGCACATATGGATATGAAACTTGCATGAATCGAAACTGTAGCATGTTCCCTTTAATTTTGATATGTTCTCCTCGAGGTTAGCTTTGAATGCATTTAAGATGAACTGTGTAATTAGTGATATTTAAAGGAGGATTCACATATTAAATGTGTTGAACTATATTTCATAGTGTTTGGTCCTATATTTTCTGTGAGTCGTTCTTTTCAGTGTTTTGGTTCAAAGCTACCATTTCCAAGGCCTTTTAGGAGGACTTGTGACACCCGGTAGGCCTTTGGCGTGCTACAACTGAAAAGGCCGTTACGAAGTTAACAAGTACGCACAGTCATTCTCTGCACCCCTCTCAATCGAATCCAATCGGCTTGTTCAAATCACTTGGCTGTAGCTTGAAGTTAAACGACACGAACACCTGCAGCGGCTGTAGCCACTAACAACTCCTCGATCGTGCCACGATCCTGCGCGAAACTGTGACAATTTCACTGCCACGACCCTGGCATGCATCGAATAATATGAATTTTAAACCATCAACCCAAACCACCCCATCGGGGTTAAACGATACTCTTGAACGGGTAATTCGGGCATAAATAGATTATGTCTGTGATTGGATACAAAAGTGTATTTTTGCAGGTGATTTCTGACAGCGAGAAACCACGCTGCGAAAATTACTTATACAGCCTCTTTGAAGACTGACTTCTATCCAATCGTCAGAGGAATCATAACCAGCATATATTACTGAGCAGCGAAGCAGCTTGAAAACTGTGATTTGATCCATCTAGGCTATTTACGGCCAAATTATCAGCCCCAAAACCTGCAGTCAATTTTTCCACCGTCAACACTCCTGGTCTGGTGAGGGGCCACACAAACTTTGCTAGCCACGAGGTGCATGGGAAAAAGGGGAAGAGGCTGAGCCACAGAATTTGGCCATGTACAAATACATCGTTTTGTAACGGCTTGCTTTCAAACTATGCTCAATTCCTGAGGATAAAGCTGTATCATCATCGAGAATGAATTATTTTTAACACCATTAACATATCAGACAAGAGAGTACTTTGGTATCATGCTGTGACTACCAGAGCCACAAG